TCCAAGAAATGACGTCAGCCAAGTGTATTTTTGACTATGGAATTTTTATTATTATATATATATATATATATTATATTTTTAAATATTTCTTATAGAGTTTTCTGAAACAGTACTTCCGGAATAAGGTTCTCGTAATTCTTTATGCTTAGTTTCTTTATTTTTTGTTATCCAAAACTTTCAGTTAAATGCCCAAAGAATAATCCAAAAGTATTTAAAATGTGTCAATTCTTTATTTATTTATAGGCCTCATCCAACAATAATTTGTAAAGCCATTTACATGTTAAAGCTACGGCTACGTGTATATACTAAAAACTTCATAAAAATAAATATGTACAAATGAAATTAATAGGTATATTTGTTTCTGAATGTCTTAATTTACTATAGAGAAGGATAATGCGTTTCATTAATGTATGGTAAATTATGTTTTCTACGTAACATTATGCTTTAAATAATTCTTTCATTCTAATACAATGGAATGAAATCTTCAGTTCTAGAATATTACGCATTCTAATAAATATAATAAGTAATTTCTCTATTATTAAATAGAATTTCAAATACTTATATATAAAGTATTTTTGTTTCGTATGAGTTCTTAGACTACCTTTTACCTGTAATATTCAACATTAAAAATATGTAAAAGAAACATGTCACACTCTGAAATGAAATTTTTTTTTATTGTTGCACAAAACCATATTCTTTCTCCAGGCTTGCCCGTGAAACACCAGACATTTGTTTTCAAAGAATGCTGTAATTCTCAAGCTTTGTAATATCCACTTCTTCCCATCACATTAAAAAATATATATATATATTTCGTTTAAAATTACACTATAGTAACAAATAGTTCTTTATGAAAGCATCCCACGTCTTAGGCAGATAGCCCCCGTACTCTTTGCCATAATCTAAATAAACCAATCTAATCCATAAACTCTTCTAATACTTACAATCTTCAGAGATTAGAACCCTGCGGGTTCTCAGCGTAAAACTGGTTGAAATGCCAATCCACTATAAAAGCTCTAAAATGCGTAAATTCTAACTCTCCAGGTTTTACCGGGAGACATGGCCTATACACTTCTTCCCCGGCTTTTCAACTATCTTCCAGTCTCCCGATATATAACAGAATTTCCCGGTTTTTAATTTTTAATCTTAACTACCGAAAACGACCAAGGAAACATTTCCCAGCAATAAATGAAATTTAAAGTGTGCAAATTCCTTTTCCCATCCCGAATAATTTTCAGTCTCATTTTTCTCACTGTGTTTTATCTCAATTGTCTAAATCAAATGTAGACATTTGTTGAACTTTTTAAGAAGACCCAAGCAACGTTTGATCAGTTAATATTTGTATTTAATTTTCTTTTACATCAATATATGGTATATTACTAAGTTTATCCACACAATATTAGGTACGTTAATTATTAATTTTTATTTGCATTATATTTAAAAGTACTTTGATAAAGATAAATAAATAATAAGTAATAAAAGATTTTCCTTCCCTAATCAAATTTCTTTCGGTATAAAAGTGTGTAAGAAAATAAAAAATTAAAATTAGTTATAGAACATAACATTTGGAATACACAATTAAGCGCTAATATAGTCTGCATAAGTGACTGCTATATCGAAGGGCCCGAGTTCGAAGTGTGGAGAAGGTATGGATGTAAATTGTCCGTTCCATCATAGGAGGTAACGATGGCCGCCTATTAGGTGCCTCCATAAAAAAATGACCACCACTTCTGACCTTAGTGGCAAAAGCCGAAATGGCTAGTGCCGGCCATCGTAATCCAATGTTTTGCATAAGTGTTATATTAGCAATAGTTCAGTAACCTGAGTCCTGTATTATAAAGTAACTTTCAAGTCAGTTTGACATTCTCTTGAAATTGCGTCCCCGCGTTACTTCAAAATTTGCAGCTATGCAAGTAGTTCATCATAGGTTTGGCTTCAAGTGACTGTATGCAGGCTTACTCTTTGGAGTTTCAAGGATTTTTTCCATGTATAACCCAAAGAAGAGCCAATTTGTTTCAGAAAATTCATAATGAAGGCATACTGTTTCTTAGGGAGTCGTTAAGAGTCCATTATTATAGATTCAGAATGTACATTAATTACTTTTTAACCGAGATAGATTTAACCCACAGTTTTAATAGACTTAAAGTAATTCAAAAAGTATTTTAACCTTATATAATTGAGTCGTTTTTGGATTTGTATCTTCTAATATTATACCTCAGAAATTTTAATATGAAATTCAGCTAATATCACCTGCATATTTAATTTAATTTTTTGTTAAAAATTTAACAGGTATAAATTTTAGAAATTCCAATTTTAAAAAGTTTAAGCTGTAATGTATAAAACTGTTATCATGCACTCTATCACAAAAAAATATGTGCACCCAGAAGGAAACGAACTACTATCACAAAACTTAACATGCATGTATTGTATGAAGAAATTAACAAATTATTATAAATTCAGAACAAAAGATCACTTAACTAAGAAGTTGCGGCATGAAAAAGGCTATAAATCAGTAAGTAGTATAACCACCTTTGGCAGCTATACAAGAAGAAACACGGCGTGGCATCGAATCAAGTAGGTCACCTATGACTCCCTGCGGAAGATCATGCCATAATCTTTGCAACTAGGCAGTTAATTCACCAATATTCGGGAACGGCTGCAGTTGCCTTCCAAGCATGTCCCAAACGTGCTTTGTTGGCAAGAGGTCTGGGGACCTGCAGGCCACGGGAGTACATCATATCCTTGAAGACATTGTTGGGAGAGTTGCGAAGTATGTGGACTAGCGTTGTCTTGCTGCTAAATGCACATGGGCGACTTGGTAGTATAGGCAGTACAACCAGCGTTAAAATGTCGTCCACGTAACTGCGAACCGTCATTATGCCTCAAAAGACGACTAGTGTCGTGTCGTGTGTCCCAACAAATCACTCCCCACACTGTTACCCCTTGTGTGATCGCCGTATGCCGCTCGACAACAAATTCCCGATCGGACTACTGGCCTGGCCTCCTCCACATGCGTGTGCGTTGGTCATCAGCATTGAGACTGAATCAGGATTTATCGCTGAAGATCACACGACACGGTCACATTTCAGCTTGGCCGGTTTGGCAAAAATCCAATCAACACTGTCTATGACCTAGGGTAAGTGATATGTATCTTAGTGGACGTCGGCAGCATGTACCGTGCAGTCGTCTCCGAATAGTCTCCCTTGATACCACCGGATACCTGGAATGGTGGTAAATGGCATCTAATCGATGCTAGCTACGGCGTTTGTGTGGTAGTGGCCGCTTTTATGATTGCGCGATCCTCGCTCTCATTTGTGTTCCTGGAACGCCCTGACGGTAGACTATCCCTTCTGTGATCCATAGTCGCCAACACCGAGCAACTACCATATCGCTCCAACCGAGGTGGCGGCCGATACGCCTGTTCGGCCAAACTGCTTCTTTGAGGCTTACTATTCGCCCCCTTCTCAAAGTTTGACAACTGTTCGTGCTGCCGTCGCTTACGTCTCAGAGGCATCTCTAGTCACAATACCGTCCATCCAAGTCGACAGACTCGTTTGACTAGCCCTACTGCACGGGCAATCATGCTTTTAAACTCTTCCATCTGCGCATCTCATATAAGCATAGTGCGCTTACCCTTGTCTCATTAGCATTAAATGTAAGTCATTAGCATATCTCTTACCAGACATTCATGCCGAGTTTCGTGATTGTGGCTCGATTTCTTCTGGGTGTGTGTGTGTATATAGTATATATATATGTAAAATATAAAAAAAATACGATGGCTTTGCTTTTCGCGAACACGCAACCTTTAATTAATTTTCTGCAATATAGGATCTTCTCCCTAGACCAGTACCTTCTAGAATTTGCTAGTCTATTACGTAACCGCTACTATAAATACTGAGTACGCGCCATTTTTCAGTCAGACTGCTTCCTAATATCGCAGCTACAAGACTCTGCGCTGCTCTGTCCATCTTTCTTTCCTTTGCTAGAATTAGTTATGACGCAGAAAGTTTAAATTCAATCCTACTTAGTTAAAATCACTATGGATCATTCGGTAATTTAGGAGTTTCATATAAAATGAAAATGATCTGCTAATTGGATTAAATAAAAATGGGCAATTAAAAGCTAAATCAATTATATATATATTTGTGATAGAGGGTATTTTTAATCTTTGTTAGTAATCAGATGCTGTTTACATATCTTACAATTCCTGACAAGTGTTATTTCTAAACAAAGAAAATAAAAGTGCTGCACATATGTAAATGATGAGAAGGTATTTTATTGAAGATTCTTTATTTCTATTGCTTACTTATCTCAGACAGATAAAAATTTTCTTTTTCGATATTTTCATCAGTCATGGGATTCCCACCCTAGCTGCGCCACTGATGAATGATATTTTCATCATTCATCAGTGGCGCAGCTAGGGTAGAGGCAAGGGGGGACATCTGTCCCCGGGCGCAGCATCCAAGGGGCGCCAAATTGATGTGATGAAATTGCAGAATGAAATGTTTTCCGTTCTTGGAACACAGAAAGGGGCGCAAAATCTTCAGTTGTCCCCGAGCGCTGAAAACCTTAGCTACGCCTCTGATGTTCATTTATGAATAAATTTATTTACTAAATTGTGCGTTGATTATGTAATTATATGTGTAATTCATTGGAACGTTCCCTGTTATCATCAGTGAATTTTAACTTTAGGATGCTTTTGTAGAAATTGAATAATGAATGACTGGAAAATGAAACTAATTTGAAAATTCTTAGTGCCAGATAACTTTAATACTGGAATTCAAGCAATTTTCAGAGAGATAATATCAGTTATTTGGAAAATTAAATATTGATATTAATTAATTGCATCATTGGCTTTTTTCATGTTGTATATAATAGCATTTTTAATTTGTAATCAGTTAAAGACATCACTTCATCATTTGTGGTGAAGAAATGTTTTGTAAAAATTATTTCATTGATACTGTTTTAAAGGAACTCTTTCTTTTTCCTCCACTATTAAACAGCTGATTATCCCCAAGGATTAATATGGGATGAACAACAGATGCCAAGAGTTACTACAGAAGAGATTATCACGAGTGATATAATTGAAGATAAAAAGAATGTTTCGGAAGCTGCTGTTGTGGATAAGACTGAAAAGCTTGAAAAGACTGAAAAGAGCTTAAATAAAAATGACTAGTTAGATATTTTTATCCAGACACTAAAAATTTCTTCTGTCAACAGTAGGCTGTCTACGTTTTACCATCTATATTTTAATTTTATTTAATCTTTTCCAAAAATTCTTCCTCGATATTCATATCGTGGATCGTTGCTAATCAATCTACAGAATATCTTGAAATTTACTGAAAATGTTGCTTTAAATCATTTAATAATTACTTATTTTATTAATGATTTGTTTCATCTCAACTCACAGTTGGGGAATTTATTCACATATTGTATATGTGACAAAAATACTTCTATATTATTATGGGGATATTTAATATTAAAAAGTTGACAGTTTTGCTATGATCAAATTGATTTGGGTGGGATGGTACTGTTATGTCTGCCAGATTACATTATCTTCGTACAGTCATAAAAAGTTTTTAAAAAGTATTAAATGCATTAAATAATATTTACAATGATTCCATTATCAATATAGAAAAAAGATTTGAGATTTACATCCTTACATATAACTGACACATTCATTCACAGGTGATTAGTTTTAAAGTGCAAATGATCCAGTGAACATATCATTTACTGATTACTTAATTATCCACTTCATAGACAAGCAGCTATTATTTTGAGTTTCACTTATGCATAACGGTATTGTATACCACTTATAAGGGCTTTTAGAAATAAGTACTGATTAAGCATAAACCTAAATTATGATAAATGAATACAGTGACCTGAATAAATTGTTAATAAATTCTTTTAGGATGAATATATATGACTTTTGGTATCATGTGTTACTTATCTTGGAAATGCTTGAAAAAGAATACGGAAATTAAAGATTTCAGTCTTCCAAATAAAAAGCAAGTGAAAGTTACATGAAAAAAAATTCATGTTATTAAAGTAAACCGAAAATTATTTGAAAAATTTGTTAATTAAAATGTTATCTGCTTTTGATTTATCATAATTTTCTTATTTTGTAGCTTTTTTAAAACATATAATGAAAGCATAAATTTGTCTTTTAATCATTTTGTTTTTTAATTGCTATTTAATAGCAGTTGAATTTAATTGATAAAAGTCAAATTCATATCGTAAAATGTAGCTTCAAGCCTGCGCTGGCGTAATGTGTGTGTGTATGTAGCTCATTTGGTGACTGGAAAAATGCCCACAGGAATAATGCTCACAGATATAAATGCTCACAGGAAAAAATACCACACAGAAATATGCCCACACAGTAAAAAGCTCACATGGAAAAATGCTCACTTAGAAATATACTCACACGGAAAAAAGCTCACATGGAAATAAGCCCACTGATAAATAAAATACGTAGAAATATCCTTACATTAATCAATCAATAATTAATCGATTTGAACATCGTACACCTACTTGAATTTTTCAAAGAAAAATTATTTAAATTACGAAAACATATATGGTATATATGTATATATATATATATATATATAACTGTATAACTTATGTGTAGATTCAGTTGCTATATAAGATTAACAAATGGACTGTTTTGAATTAGGAAAAGGAGGAGGAAGGAAGAAAAAGAAAAATGAAACAGAATATACAGTGAAAAATTATAACAATTTTAATTGTTAAAAAAAATAATTGTAACTATAAGTTACACATTTTATAATATAAACATTTAGAAAAATAGCAAATATAAATAATTATTTTATTTAAATTACTTAAAATACCTTATTATGTATAAAACATAAATATGTATTTCAAAAAGTTATAAATACATAAAATTACTGAATATTAACTAATATGCGTAAATATCTAATTTTATCATCGATTTCATCATAGTTTCTTACATAATTCGCGATTACTAAATGTAAGTTTTCATATTTTCTTTCTTTTTAACTTCAGTACACTCTGTATTTACAATATCTAATAATAAACGTTGACAGGCTAAATCTTTTTTCAGTCCGTCAAATAAAAACCACATACTGGGATGGCTACAATTAAATAATGAATTTAGTACCTTATGAAAGCTTTCGTAACGATGTATGATTTTAAGAGATTTTTCTGAGGCTGCTTCATAATGATTCCACACTTCGATTGGAAACTATGGTCTTCTAGAACTTTTTTGGTTCCAAACTTAAATAACTACATTCAAATATCAATTCCTATAGATACACATCAAAAGTATGCAAAAATAGAGTAAAAAAACAAAAATTAACTATTCGCAGTTACAAAAATAAAAATGTCGTACAGGGACAGTGGTATAAAATATTATAGTACATGCAAAATTTTACTATAGTTTTCATTCTTTTGTGGTGGAGAAATATTGTTTTCATTCTTTCCTCTACATAGTGGAGGATTTTCTTCGCCTCTGAAAAGGTTAATGTGAGCATTTGTCCAATAATTTTTTCAAATGATTAAATAATTTTTCTTTTAAAAATTAAGTAGGTGTACGGTGTTTAGATCGATTAATTATTATTGATTAATGTAATGATATTTCTATGTATTTTATTTATCAGTGGGCTTATTTCCATGTGAGCATGTATCTATGTGAGCTGTTTTCCGCGTGAGCATATTTCTAAGTGAGCATTTTTCCATGTGAGCTTTTTTCTGTGTGGGCTTTTTTCCTGTGAGCATTTATACCTGTGAGCATTATTCCTGTGGGCCTTTCTCCTGATGACTTTTTTCCTAGAACCAGCTCATTTCATTCATATGTACAACTGTAGTGAAAATGCATAACATCTTTAAATTAATTCATTTCTTTTGGAGGCCTAAATGGCAAAAATAATGCTAAATCATATATAGGATGTATGTAATGGCGTCCGAATTCTGGAGGTTATCTAATTTTCTTATTAATAAACGTAACATTTTCTTATGTGGTTACAGATTTGTGATAACTCTTGATATCTTGATACTCTTGATAGTAGTATGATTGTGAACTGAAAAATTGCTGTGAAATTTAAATAATTAACATATGTGTATATCTAAGTATTTTTTCAGTAAAAACATAGAAAATTACTGAAATATACTTAAAAGTAATTTGAAATATCACACATTAGATTTCATTCATATAATTTAGTAACCATTTAAAGTATTTTCATCCTACATAGTGGAGTTATTCTTGTAGTATTTATCACTGTAATTTTCTGTTTATCATGTATTAGTTTGTCATCTAAGATAATCATTTATATTTACACTATGCATGAATATATTTGAACTCTTGTTTCTGCTGTTATTTTAACATAAAATTTAGATGAAAGTGTCTCATATGTTCTTTATTATTATCCCATCTGACATATATTTTAAGTATGTGTATTATTAATTCATATGCATTTTAAAATTATTGCCAATAGTTTATGACAATTCTTTTGAAATTATAAAAAATATAGTTTTGGAAACCAATAATTAAAACTGTGCTTCTACGGTGAATGTATATTGTTGTAGATATTCACCTATAAATAAGCACACAATCTGTATCTCTAGATTATTTAAGTTTAAAATAGTTAAAACTATTTTCGAAGAATTACGAGCGACGCCTTATGTATAAGGTAGCGTATGTATTTTTGTATTTAGAACATAAAAACCCAAAGTTTCTCTGCATATGGGATCTTCTAGGAGCTCTTAAAGTTTTTTGTACAAGGCCTTTTTTAACTTCTTAACATTTACTTTATTTCGAGAAAAACTATTTAGTATAGTAATTTTTTTAATTGAAGGCTATTAAAATTTGGATATGTCTTGTTTTGAAAACAACAAAAACAATTTATTTATTTCTTTGGCGATCTACAGTAGCACAAATTTAAGTCACCTAAGTCATAAGCGGGCATAAGTACTAAGAGTTCCTTTTTCTTTTTAATTATACTTATTAAGTAAATAAGTTTAAAGCCTGATACTGATATTGTAATGTTGTGCAACATGAAACAGTTAGATCTTTCTAAATTTTTAAGTGTAATTTATGTTTACTTTTAAATGTCCTGACTGTAATTTTAATATGAACATTGATTTTTTTTTTTTTTTTTTTTTTTTTTTTTTTTTTTTTTTTTTGTGTGTGTGTGTGTGTGTGTGTGTGTATGCTTTAAAATTGAGCTTACAATAATTTAGATCTTACTCTGCCCATATTGATATTTTATAATAATAAAAAAAAATCGAGTACATTGACCACTCACCCATCTGGTCATTAGGGAAAGTTAAGACCAAGATATAATGTACAAAAAATTATATACCCGGCTATAATTTGCATGGTATTTAGTATCTTCATTGTAGGTTTAATCAGATACACCTCATGTTATGCAATTTATGTGTAGCTATTGAGAAAAACTTTAAATAAGAAATTTATGTTTTTGAATTCTATTGAAAAGGGGAAAATAAAAAGATTAATATAACTGAGAATAAGCAGATATATTTGTAATAGGTTTGAAAATCACCTGGAATGAAATGTAAGCTGTTACAAATTTGAAAATGTAGTAAACTTCTGAAGGTGATAAATATTTGTTATATTAAAAAAACTCTGAAGACAGAACTCTGTCCGAATTCTAACTCTGTCCAAACATTTGAGCTTGATCAGTTTAATACTGAAAATTGATTTACTTTAAGTCTTGCGAAAAGAACTTATTTTAAAATGGGGTTCCTATGTTTATCGTCTTTTTTAATTTTGCATCTTCATAAGTAGCATGCCTTAGGGAGCATTTAAGGAAAATCATATATTTTTACTTTCGTTTTTAAGATAAATACGAAGTACATAAAATGCGTATAATTTTATGCGTTTTCAGATTACAAAATTAAGTCTTCTCAAAAGATCAAAAAGTTATAATGTAAAGATCAAAAAGTTATAATGTAAAGATCAAAAAGTTATAATGAACTACAAAAAGTTATAATGTATAATCATATTTTATTTATTTATTTCTGTGAAAAAAATCTTCTAAAGTTTTTTTAAGCATTTTAGGGCAGTTATTTTGCTAGAATAATTTTTAATTCTAGAATAAAATTGTCTATATTAGAATATTATTGATTAAAGTAAAACATTTGTATAAAACTGATATGTTAGTTACATTTATTTTTGCATTCATTCAATACTACAGTATTGTTTTTTCTAATTAGTATTTCATATTTATATTTTTGCATTATGTAAAATATATATGTATTTTTTAAATGATCTTGATACTTATAAATATCCAAATTACTAATACACGTTTGGCAGAAATAAGTCATTAGTTTTGTCATTTCTAATATGAATTGAAAGTTTTGACAAAAGGTTATTTTAAAAGAATGTTGTCTGAAAATTTTTCACTGTAAAACTTGTTCTGTCTTTAAAAACTTTCCACTGTAATTTTTAAAGTGCATCACACACTTCAAAAATTTTTCTCTTGGAAGATTTTATATTAAAGCCACTCAGAAAGAATTACATAAAGTATGTAGATATTTCATAAAATTATTTTTTGTGATTCCTGGAGAAATATATCTTTAAAGAAAGTGTTGAAGAAACTATATATAATGCTTTTCTTTTATCTGAGCTATATAAGAGCTTTATGACATCAATAATTTGATAATTAGTTATGGCATTTACTGTATGTCAGTGTTTTGAGGAATTTTTACTTTCATTAATTGATATATACTGTAAAGTTTTTCTATTTATGGTGTTCATGTTTGTGATGAAGATATATATATATATGTTATATGTAATATCTTCTATTAATATAAAAGCTTTTGAATAAAAAGAATTAAAAGAATGATATCTGAAAATCTTTCACTTTAAAATTTGTGCTGTCTTTAAAAATTTTCCACTGTAATGTTTCACTTCGAAGATTTTATATTGAAGCCACTCAGAAGAAATTACATGAAGGATGTGAAGATTTCATAAATTACTTTTTGTGAATTCTAAAGAAATGAATACCTTTAAAAAAGTGTTGAAGAAAACTATACGTAATGCTTTTCTTTTGTGTGAACTGAGCTTTATGAGATCAATAATTTGATAATTAATAATGGTTTTTACTGTATATCAGTGTTTTGAAGAATTTTTAGTTTCATTAAATGATGTATGCTGTAAAGTTTTTCTATATGTGGTGTTCATGTTTGTGGTGAAGATATCGTATCTTCTCTTAATGTAAAAGCTTTTGAATAAAAACGTTCTGTTAAACGTTGTAGAAAAGTGCTCAGTTTATGAAGTTAAACTTTACTTTTCTTCTTTACCTTCATATAAATATTATTTGTGCAAATGAGAGGCATCAAATAAAAGAACAAATGCGCATATAAAAATTTAAGTAATTTTAATTGAGTCT